GAGCGACGAAAACGACTCTCGGAATCAGTCTGCTGCTGGAACCGCTCCAGCCGCGGGAATGCGATAGACAACGTCCGCGTGTGACGTATTGGACGAGTCGCCACCCCGCGTCGGGCATCTCCAGCATCTCCAGCGCCTCCCGCTGCCTCCAGCAGACTGATTCCGAGAGTCGTTTTCGTCGCTCTGCCTCTCCCGCACCCGCACGGGACGCCCCATGAGTGCGAGAGAGACGGCGCGACGAAGGCGACCATCGGAATCACTCTGCAGCGCGCCCCAGTGAGTTGTGACCGACGAGGAGGTTGTCGCCGGTCTCTGTTAGAAACCATCTCCTCCACTGCTCTCCCTATGGGCTGCACATTTCCACCACCTTCCTTTCGGCAGTGTCGCGCACACTCACGCACAAGCCAAAGCCGTGGCTCTCGGCGCGTCCAAATATCACCCTCGTTCGTTTCCCGTTTGACGGCAAGCCGGCAGGCCGGCAGGGCGGCGTGGCCGAATCGAGGAGAAAGCGGAAGATGCAAACAAACGACATGTCATGGGGTTCACGAGCATCGCGCAGCGAGCAGCGAGCATGCAGGCGACAAAGTGGGAACACGCTGCCCCCAGGGACTCCAGCAGACTGATCGCTCCGTCTCTCTCGCACTCATGGGGCGTTCAGCGTCGGTGCGAGAGAGACAGAGCGACGAAAACGACTCTCGGAATCAGTCTGCAGGGACCCCAGCAGACTGATTCGAGGATCGTTTTCGTCGCGCTGTCTTGCTCGCACCGACGCTGAACGCCCCATGAGTGCGAGAGAGACGGAGCGACGGGCAACTCCAGGCCGGCCCAGCCAGCAGCCACCTGCGCATATCACGCGCGGCGCGCCCCACCGTAAACCCCACCGGCCCCAGCAGCGGCCCCACGCACAACGTGTTGCTGGTCGCGCACGCCGCCGCTGCACAGTGGGCCAGAAGACCGGTAGAGGCGGTCAAAATTCTAGACGCGTTTTGAGCTCCAGAGTCGCTAAAAGGGACTCTGTGACCCCACCAATGGATTCCTCGTCCGAAGAGCAATCCATTGGTGGGGTCACACGTTCGGTTCGAGTCCCATTTAGCGACTCTGGAGCTCAAAACGCGTCTAGAGTTTTGGCCGCCTCCACCGGTCCTCTGGCCCACTGTGCGCAGCAGGCTGGTTCCGGACGATGCTTCCGTCGTCGCTCTGTCTCTCTCACACTCATGGCGCGGCCCGTCCCGGTGCGAGGGAGACGGCGCGACGGAGCACTGCGCTCGGAATCAGCATGCTGGGACAAATATTATTGCGGGTCGCTTTCGCGAGCATGTCGTGTGGAATGAGGGGCAGGGGGACGCACAATCGAGTCTGCTGCTCCCGTCCGTGCAAAAGAGAGGGGGGGGGGGTCCAGACGCTCCGATCAATAAACCCCCTCCCCCCTCCCCCTGCTCGGCGACAGCATTAGGTCAAGTCCGGGTTGGAATTTCCTCCGAGTGGTCCTCCAGGCCATCCCGGCCCGGCCCGGCGTTCGCATTACGTGATCATGCAGCAAACAAGGAGTGCGAAGCCGAACAGGTCGAGGCCCAGGCCGGCACCCCGGAACGCAAAAAAGCCATCATCGGCAAGCCTTCGATTCATGCCGGCCAGCCCGGCGGCGCAGCGGCGCGGCGGCGCGCACACACTGTTTACTTTGGCCGGTTTCACCGCCGCGCGCGCCTCACAAAAGCAGATTGTCTATTTTCGCTTAAATGAAAATGTGCGGCGCGGAGAGAGGCGGCAGGAACAATGCTTAGCCTGGAGCCTCCTGGAGACGACGGGGCTGAGGTCCACTGGAGTCCGCTGCAGTCCGCGCTGGACAGGGGCCGGGGCCACCATACATTATCCACGCTCCAATATAAATTATGGATGCGGGAGCGTGGCTCTATCTGTGCTTTCCCCTTTCATGGCGGATATGACAGCAGTGTCCCCAAGGGGCCCAAGGCGGTCCCATTTTTCCAGTGACTCCGGGAAGCGGGCGTCGCGCCGTCGCCGACCGCTCCGCCCTGCTACCCTTTCAGCCGCCTTGTTGGACTCCGCGCTATGCGGCCGGGGTACGTTCCGGTCTCCGTCTCTCTCTCTCTCTCTCTCTCTCTCTCTCTCTCTCTCTCTCTCTCTCTCTCTCTCTCTCTCTCTCCTCTCTCTCTCTCTCTCTCTCTCTCTCTCTCTCTCTCTCTCTCACTTATGAGGGACAGAGCGACGAAACCGACTCTCGGAATCAGTCTGCCGCCCCTCCGCGGCCGGCGGCGCGCAGGCGGGCCTATCCCGATGCGAGAAGACGCACCGGGTCCTCGAGACGACGCGAAAACAATGCCCGGTCCGGTCAGGCATTATTTTATTTTTGCGGGGAAGCCGAGCGGGTCGAACTTTATCCATCGTCTTTGCCTTCGGCTGCCTATTATGACATGAAGGGGCTGCAGGTGCAGTGGCGGACGCCCTCTGTAACGCACCCAAAAAAAATGACTTCTTGGATCAAGAAAAATTTAACTTTTCTTGGTTTTTGCAAGAAAATTTTTCTTAATCCAAATTATTTGTTTTGAATAAAGAAATTTTTTTGTGTCAGATTACTTTTCTTACAAAAACCAAGAAAATCAAAAATCAAGAAACCATTTTTTTTGGGTGAGTGGAGTGCGAATAACAGACGGCTCATGCACTGATTGGCGTACAAGGCCCAGAAGCCAAGGCTCTAGACTCCGCTTCGAAGTTCAAAACGGGTTGAACCGACTTGGACTTCTTTGTCGACAGGTGGAACCCACTTCCGCGTGCTTTACATGTCTGGGAACCAGACGGACTCTAAATAAATCTCGGCTGCGACTTTCCTCCAGTTGGCTTTTCTTTTTCCGTGTAATTTTTTTTTCCTTTACCATTTCTCTTTCTTGTTCCTCCGGAGCCGGGCTACGCGGGACACTTGACGGAGTGGGGCTGGATGACCTTGCGGGGGGGGGGGGGAGGGAGGAGCGACAGAGAGAGAGAAAGAACGATAGGAACAGGTGGACGCGTCGTCAATAACAGGGTGGACCAAAGTGAAAGACTTTATCAATAATGTTTTCCCGAACGCCGGTTGAGGGGTTGGTTTATTTAGCAGTCCCAGTCTAACCTCTAAATTTTTTTACAAAAACATTTTTCAATATTTAGGTAGAAAATGGCACAAGCTTCAAAATCTTACTGTGAAACTTAAAAAAAGAATTCGGCACCCCTATGGAGAAATTCTTCTTCACACGCTTAAAACCTTACGAAGTACTTTGAGCATACACAGTGCAAACTAATTTATACTTTGTTGTTATACGAAGAAATAGTTCGTAGATTACGAGGTATTTTCTTTGTAAGCTTATGTGTATGCTCAAAATACTTTGTTATAATGAGCCACTTTCCTTTTTTAAGGCCGAAAAGAGTTTTTTTAAAAGCTTCTTAGAGTGCACTGCCTACCATGGGCGAAATTTCACTGGTGTAGGGACAGCCTCGTACACTGTAAAAAATTCCGTACTTTTGTACGGAAACGGTACAGCAAAAATATAGTACGGAGGTACGGAGAAAAGTACGGAACGTTCCGTACTTGCTCCATATGAACCCATGTAAATGGGTACGGAAAAAAGTACGGAATGTTCCGTAGTTGGCAAGTACGGACGTTCCAGGCAAATTATTGACCAGAGATGTTTCGTACTTTTTCCATACTTTTTTCTCACAGTGTAGAGACATGCACACTAGTTATGCGCCCACGCGTGCTTCCTTGTAGGCAGGCCAAGCCGCCTAGCGAATCTTTTGTTTTCGCGGGCAACAATCGTCCGCGCCGCAGGAGACTGCGGGCATGCCGCAGGTGGCGCCGGTGGCGGGCCCAAATCAGAAGGCGAGGGCGTGGCTCTTTGATCTTTTCTCCGGCGTGGCGTGGCGCGGCGTGGCGTGGCGTGCCATGGCGTGGCGTGGCGTGGCGTGGAAAGCGCGGAAGGAAGGCCGAGAGACAATGCCTCTCGCCTTGTACGACCAAACCACCGAATGCTCTTTCCCGCTGGGCGGCTGGGCCGTGGCTGGGCGGCCGGCCGGGCCGCAACCGCTGACCATACCGCATCGTCACTTATCTTTTTTGCCCCCCCGAGCCCAGCGAGCCCAGCGAGCCCGCCGCGCACCGGCCTCCCCGGCGCCCCGGTTCACGCCGTGGCGACGGCGAGTTATGGCCCACGCGGGAGGCAATGCAGGTCGTGCCTGCGAGACTATGGGACTGGGGGCTGCTTCCGAACAGTGCGCTCATCGCTCTGTCTCTCTCGCACCCCTACGGATCTCCCCGTGAGAGCGAGAGAGACAGAGCGACAGCCTGCTGGCCACCGGGGAGAAATGGCTCGAGTGATTCATTAGACGAGGAAGTGGCGATGGCTCTGCGGAGCCAGAGTGCATCTCTGTCGCTCTGTCGACACGCCCCATCGAGAGCGAGAGAGACAGAGCGGTGCAGTTGTTTGGGACCAGCCTGCTTGCACCACGCTCACCGCGAGGGGGTCGGAAACACAAAATCAAGGCGAGTCCAGTGCGGGAGCGGCTGTGCTTTGTTTTTGGCCGTGCACAAGGGCGTGGTGCTCAGACTTCACCCGTTTTGAAAACCGCAATGAAAAGTAAAAATATAAACGGAAAACAAATTTTGTTTACATAACCACTTATATTTTTCATCCCCTAAATGTGCAACGCCAAATTTAAGAACAATTTTTAAAAAAATTGTCATTAACTATTAGTAGGATATAAGAATTGAATTGATTACAATAACCCTTTTTGCGTTAGACACCACTGACACACTTATTTTCTTTAATTGATCTTATCAAAACATTTTTGTAAATTGTTGTATTCGCTTGTTATCACTTGCACTTTAATCTGGCGTCGCACTTCAAGGAACGCACGGACACTCGCTGTCACAGTCACGACGCGTTGGCACTGGTAATCCATGTCGCCTCTCGCACGCACTCTCCACACACACAAACACAGACACTCTCACTCACCGGTAGCAATTTCATGGCGCTCTCCCAGTCGGATCACAACACTAGTATCACAGAATCGCCTCCCGGTGCGGCAGTGCGGCGCCACTTACGGATTCGGACAGACTCATCGCGAGTCCTCGGCCACCTCCTCTTTTAAAGGCGCGCCACGCGGGGCGCGGTGGGCGCGGTGGTGGGGGAGGGGTGGGGGAGGGCGCGCCGGCCGGGTGAGGCCCGGCGCAGCCCGGCGCGAGGCGCGCGTGGGGACTTACGCCCCTTTCTCCAGACTCCTCTCCAGCAGACTGATTCAGAGAGTCGTGCTCGTCGCTCTGTCTCTCTCGCACTCCTGCGGCGTCCCGTGTGGGTGCGAGAGAGACAGCGCGACGAAAACGACTCTCGGAATCAGTCTGCAGCCGGCGGCCGGCCGGTCCACCCCGCCCCACTCCAGCAGCGGCAGTGCGGCTCCAGGCTGCTCCGGGCTGCGGCGGGGCGGGGGATCCACCTGTCTGCCGGACTCCACGTGCACCGGCCGGCGCGCTGCCCCCCCCCCCCCTCCAGCCCCCCGGACGACATAACAGCGGTCCGTTTTGTGGCGGTCGGTCGTCCCCGTGGGAGAGATGCGGACCGCCCCACAGTGGGCCAGAAGACCGGTGGAGCGGCCAAAACTCTAGAGACGTTGAGCTCCAGAGTCTGTAAATGGGCCTCGAACCGAACGTGTGACCCCACCAATGGATTGCTCTCCGAACGAGGAATCCATTGGTGGGGTCACACGTTCGGTTCGAGGCCAGTTTAGCGACTCAGGAGCTCAAAACGCGTCTAGAGTTTTGGCCGCCTCCACCGGTCTTCTAGCCCACTGTGATGCGGACCGCCCGTCCCCTTTCGGCCTTTCGGGCGTCCCGTCTGACATCATCCTGCGGCGGCGCGGGGCGTCCTTCCAGCTTCCAGCGCTTCCAGCCTCGCAAAGTCCAGTCTTACGCTGAGGGCGTGGTGCCCGCTAAGGCGAGAAGCCAGCCACACACTGGCCGACATTTTTGCACATTTTTGTGCAGGAGGAACCGGACACGGGGCGCGCCCGTGTCCGTCTCTCTCTCTCTCTCTCTCTCTCTCTCTCTCTCTCTCTCTCTCTCTCTCTCTCTCTCTCTCTCTCTCTCTCTCCTGTGCGGAGCGAGTTTGCAGCGAGGACGGCGCCAAACGTGTCGGGGGCGAGCCCCTGCAGCGTAGGCAGCCGGCGAGGAAGCGCGCACCGCAGTGCTGCGTGGCTGCCTACCCGAAGTTCGCAGGCGCTCCGCGGCGGCGCGATGGTGTCGAAACGCGGAGCATGGAGTTCGAAGCGCGAAGCAGCGTGTGGTCATAATTTCCCTTTCACTTGTTAGGCGCATGAATAATACTGTTCGGGAAGAAAGAAAAGGAAAAAGGGACCACGCGTGCTGCTTCTGTGACTCTGTGACCCTCCGCCGCGCCGCGCCGCCACACACACCGAAATCACGGCACGGAACGAGCGTGATGGGGAGGCGGCCCGCCGTCCCAGTAGACTGATTCCGAAAGTCGTTTGGTCGCTCTGTCTCTCTCGCACTCATGCGGCGTTCCGTTGGGGTGCGAGAGAGACAGAGCGACGAAAACGACTCTCGGAATCAGTCTGCAGGGCGAAAGGGCCCACAGGGCCCAAAGGGCGGAGTCCCATTAGCCGCTAAGAGGCAAGGACGAAGGACGAACGCCCAGGCAAGGGCCCAGGGCGCCCAGGACACAGCTCCGCGCCGCTCTCCCAGAGCGCGATGAAGCTCCAGTTAAAACAAGGCCCTCTTTACCAGCATCGCCCGACGGGCGCGACGCGTCAGCCGTCTTTTCTCATTTTTATTTTTATGTTTTTTGGCTCGGCTCCGTGGCGAAAATATCGCTGACAGTGACGGAAAACATGTGTATAATGGTGGAGCGGGGCCTGGAAGGCCTGGAACCTGAGGCAGGCCACCCTGCCCCAGACAGGTGGGCCTCCCGTCGGCCTGCTGAGGGGCCGGCTCGACTCGAGGGGGTTCCCGACTCAGAGAAAACAAACGTAGTACACCCATTGACGCCAAGTATTTTTTTTTTATTTAAAAGTTTTCTACTATAGCATAGTATCCACTTTTTTCCCTGCTCATCTTCGCCTGATAGCAAAGCCGTTGCATCATTGACGGCTGCCATCGGTTGGTTCGGACCCATTCAGCGCTGGCCGCTCCAAAAACACGTTCCCGTCGCCGCGGCCGCCTGTTAGTGTATTGGCCGATGCAGTGTCGTTGACTCCGCCACCGAGCCATCCGCGCCACATCCCGGCCGACGTCACCCGGAAGGACGAAGCCATAAAACGCCAAATTTCGCCCAAAGCTTCCGTTTTCGAGGCGCAGAAGTCTGTCGCCCTAGTTCACCACCAACTTTGGTTACGAACCGGCGCCTCGCTGCGCAGTGGGCCAGAAGACCGGTGGAGAGGCCGAAATCCGGGACGCGTTTTGAGCTCCAGAGTCGCTGAACAGGAGTCGAACCGAACGTTTGACCCCACCATGAGATTCCTCGTTCGGAGAGCAATCCATTGGTGGGGTCACACGTTCGGCTCGAGTCCCATTTAGCGACTCAAGAGCTCAAAACGCGTCCGGAACTTTGACCGCCTCCACCGGTCTTCTGGTCCACTGTGCGTCCAAGTCTCTCCAGTCACCGCGTCGCCGGGTAATGCAACAAGCCCTCGTTGATGACGTCGAGGACGATCCTCGTAACGATCGTAACGGTGTAGGCATGAGCCGCGGACTCGCGGTCTTTGTGAGCAGACTGAACGGAATCGTCGCTCTGTCTCTCTCGCACCCCAGCGAGGCGCCCCGTGAGTGCGAGAGAGACAGAGCGACGCGAGCGTGCTGCCTCGTCATCCCCTCTCCCTCTAATTCGGCTCGATGCTGTTGAATCAGGGCGACTTTGCGGAGGACCGGCCGACCCGCCGCGCGTCCGCCGTCGGCCGAACCGCCCCGCGCCCCGCCTCCGCAGAGTGTGTTTTGACTTTGGCAATAATTTACCGGAATCCGGGCCGTCCGGGCCGGATCGCAACGAGCCTCCGTCCAGCCGCCCCGTCCGGCGTCAGGTAGCAGGGCACCCGACGGGCAGACTGATTCCGAGAGTCGTTTTCGTCGCTCTGTCTCTCTCGCACCGAAACGGGACGCCCCAGGAGTGCGAGAGAGACAGAGCGACGAAAGCGACTCTCAGTCTGCAGGCCGCTTGGCCGCCTGGCAGGGCTCGGACTCGGCCAAGTTACGAAAGATGACGGACCCTGCTTGAGTTACGCCTCGCGGTGCAGCACTCCGGGAGAGGGACGTCAACGCTTAGCGCTTCTATGGGACGCGCTGCGCGAAATCAGTCGCCTGCAGACTGATTCCGAGAGGCTTTTTCGTCGCTCTGTCTCTCTAGCATCTATGCGACACGCCCCATGAGTGCGAGAGAGCGACGGAGACTCTCGGAATCAGTGCACTGTAAAAAAAAATTTCTGAAATTTCAGACAAAATTTGTCTGAAGTTAATTAACAGTAAGGGGTTCTGAAATTTCAGACCATTTCGGCGGTCTGAAAATTTAGAATAGGGTGGTCTCAAAGTTTAGAATTGGGTGGTCTGAAAAGTAAGACTTAGGTGGTCTGAATTATTAGACACGGCCAGTCTGAAGAAAATTCAGACAAAAACACAAAATTGTAACGTTGAACCTTCACTCTATTGCGAGAGAAGTCTTTGATAGAACTTGCGCGTTACTTATCGGCCGTGCTCTTTACTCGGATACTCCGAATATCTTGGTATTCGAACCATCGAATCCTCGCTCGTCGGCTTTGCGAGCTATCCATTACACCACGGGACCGCTCTGAGAGCACGGCTGCAGGATGCCGATGACTCAAAGCGCGCTCGATGGACGCTGGGAGGCCACAAATAAACAAACCAAGCGCGTGTTGCGGGAGTTAAACTGCGGGCAACTTGGGCTGTTCGTGAATATTTAAGATTCTGTATCGAGCTCTCAAATATTGCGGTTAAATTTGGTCAAGTGAGGCAACCAGTCTGACATTTCAGAACAATACGTCTCCCGTTTCAGACCCATGGTCTGAAAATACACAACCAGTTTGAAATTTAAGATCAATTGGTCTTCCTTTTCAGGAGAATAGTCTGAAAAGGCGATTCAGACTACATGGTCTTGTACTTAGTCTGAATTTTCAGTCACCCCTGTCAGACTTTTTGTCTAGATGGTCTGAATATGCTTTTAAGACTGCCAAAGTCTTAAATTTCATCCGAGGATTCTTCTTTTGCATACTTCTGGTCTTAATTCAGTAATCAGACCACCAGGTCTTACAAAATTGGTCTGAATTTTAAGATTTTTTTTAACAGTGTGTGCCTGCGGGACGCTTTGGAACGGGGTGCTGGTTTGGGAGGGTGCCTATCCGGTTCCCAGGCCACGGATGCCACGCGTGGAAGGACAGGGACAGCGGCCCCGTCACTCTGTCTCTCTCGCACCCCTGCGGGCCCTGGGGATGGCCCGTAAGTGTGAGAGAGACGGCGCGTGGGGCGTGGCTGGCTGGTAGTATCTCAATCACGGCGGCATGGCATCGGATTGAAACATTGAGATGCTCGCTGCGCACGTGACTTGCAGTGCCGCGCCGTCGGGACACGAGGTAGACACGTAGGCCGACGATTGGAAGCCGTGGCCAGCAGTGCCCTGCAGTGGCCTTCACGGCGCACAGTGGGCCAGACGACCGGTGGAGGCGGCCAAAACTCTAGACGCGTTTTGAGCTCCAGAGTCACTGAATGGGACCCCAACCGAACGTGTGACCCCACCAACGGATTGCTCTCCGAACAAGGAATCCATTGGTGGGGTCACACGTTCGGTTTGGGTCCCATTCAGCGACTCTGGAGCTCAAAACGCGTCTAGAGTTGTGGCCGCCTCCACCGGTCTTCTGGCCCACTGTGCGGCGGCCGGCAGGCTCCCCGAACACCACCATCCTCCCTGTGTCTCTCCCTCGCACTCCTGGGCCGTCCCGACGGGGAGTGAGAGAGACAGAGCGACGAAAGTGCTGTTCGGAAAGCACCTGCACCAGCAGCAGCCTCCGACGGGCACCCACCCACCCGCACAT